ATATATATGTATGAAAGTTTAGGCATGTATATGAAAATGCCCCAATGAATTTTTATCTTTCTAATTTGTTAAATATTATGTATCGGAGAAGCAGAGAGACGAGATCGTGCACGAGATGAAGCACTGAAGATAATTTATTTTAATGATTCCATATGTTTTCTTCCATCATTAATTAAGTATTGTATGATGCTTCTTCTCATAATCATTTCTTTATGAGGAACCATGCCTAAACATTTCTAGACAAAGACTTATTAATGGATTAAAAATTTGGAAACATTAATTATCAAGTGAATTTAAATTAAATAATTAAATATTTTAACATTAATTTTTGGTGTCTTAAAAAGCCTAGTGGACTAGCACGACCTATTTGAGTGCTACTTTTTTTGTTGTTACATATAGACATACATATACAGATATATAACTATATATGTGCATATCTATATATACATATGTATGTGTGTATACATATGCATATAAATATTACTCAATGTAATAGTAAATCAGTGTGGAAGCTTCCTGATTTTAGCCCAAAGGATCAAGATCGGCCAATGGCAAATATCATGCCCAATGCAGCAGCGCAATATAGAAAGTGATACCATTTCTACGATCAAATTGTAAAACTTCATCTCTTTCGCAATAAGTAAACAGTAAATGATAACATATATTTCAGGCTAAGATGCACCAACACAATCATAGGGAGCATGAAAGGTACATAAAATTTATCCAAAATGGTTTTAAAAAACCCACCCGCACCTTGAAAGTGTAAACATTATCATCAATATCAACTTTAATCTCACCAAGTGGAAGATTGTTCCACGTAACCAACCAAACAAACATCAAAGCAACACCCGCCACCAACACCGCAAGACAAGCCACAAATTTTTGAGAGCTAGTGTGTGCAACAACTTTAGAAATAAATGGTTTAACATTGATAAGAATGACTTTAGCATTGCCCATAAGCTCATAATGCTTCCTTTGTTTTCGCTTCATCCAAGGAAACCAACAAACAATCTAAAAGATTATATTTTGTAAATAAAGCTTAAAGTTACCTCGCCTCCAATGTAACAAGCAGTGATTCAAATCCTGATAACCGCAAGCAGTCATATAAGTTTTATAAGTGAGTGATATCAACCCCCAAATCTTTAACGAAACTAGAAGGCTTGATTCATCTTGTCTGGATCATCACCCTTAAAGAGTGAATTAACCTTTCACATCTAACCTGACCTATAAGACTTTCGAGCATCCATATGATAAGAACTGCATATCCCTCATAGTTTGCACTAGACTATCAGAGGCACAATCACAAAATAAATAAATAAATAAACCCCATGTATTATTTTTAATATTAGAACATCATGCATTATTTTATGTATTCGTTTAGGCAACTTAGATTAAGTTCCATGTTCCTTATTAATAGAAAGGGAGAGATTTTCAAATGAATTTTGACAAATCATTTAATTCAATTTGAAGTAGGCAATAATAAACCAAAGTACTTCACGAATTTAAGTATATTTCCAATATATTTAAATGCAGTGTATTATAATGTATCACCATTTGTTATGATATCTGATATAAAGATAATATTAGATATATGTTCGATAGAATAAAAAACTATTTCCATAATGGTCTAATCTCTGAGCATTTTTTATGGGGATATTGTTGATTTTATGTGCAATGGTTCTACAACTATAAATCCAACATATTATATATATATATATATATATATATATATAAAAAAAAATCGGTATTTGAGAGAGACCCAAATACCATTTCCCATGCACTAGGTCTCATGTTGAGAGCCCGCGTCATGTGCCTAAATATTTGAGAACCAGACGCCACTAGAGATTGAACCCGTGACCTGAAGGGACTTACAGTAAACCCTGCCAACCAACAGGCCACGGCTCGCGGCACTATAAGTCCCAAGCTTTTCAACAAGAACTATAATAAAACAACATCTAAGCTTTATTATATGAATCATATCAATTTCTTTGCCAATAATAATTAAAATAATAAGTATAAATGATATTAGCAAATTTCAGACCTTTTGGATAACAATTAAGGGCATATTTATCAAAATTAGCTCTAAAAATAAGGGGCTTGATTAATTGACCTTGTCAGTGAACATTAGTTGTTGTTTTCCCCACAAATATTTTTTGCATCCAAATATATACTGATATTAAAGAGTTTGGAATTTTTATCTTAAGTAAAAATCATAACCCTCCTTAAAAAATAATACAAGTTATCTATTCTATCAACATATTTCAAACTCATGAAAGCACTACTTGTCTTATATCTATTTTGTAAATTATAACACCCTATATAATTAATTGGTTATCCTCATATATGATAAATATGATCACATTTAAGATTTAAGGAAATTTTAAGAATGAAATTTTTCTTAAGTTTTTTTTATTTTATTTTATTTTACCTTCCATAATTTATAAATATCACATTTAATTGTTGTTAAAAAGTATCTCTAGAACTCAATCTTGTTAGCAAGAAGGAACTCAAAACCCTTACACAACTATATGATTCCTCGGTCTGATTGTGGGCATCAGGACCAAAAGGATGGGTAGAGATTTCGAAGTAATAGGACTGTTCACCTTGTGAGGTAAACCCATCTCATAGGGATCCAATGAAGTTCTTTTCTCATATGACTTTGAAGACTTAGATATTCTAATCCTTTTTCTATTCTCCCCCAAGTTTTCCTCCTCCTTTACTTCGCTACTTAGAAAGGGTAGCCCCAAGCTCTGAGCCACGAACTTTAAACCTACTTGTTAACAAATTGTTTATCATGTATATTCGAAATGAGAAAGAAGATACCATGTATCAAACATGATAAACAATTTGTTAACAAGTAGGTTTAAACCTGATAAACAATTTGTTAACAAGTAGGTTTAAACCTAACATTCCATTATTATTTTGTAGCAAAAATGATGAATAAATGAGAGAATTATGGAACTAAAAGTGTCGATTGACTGGTGAGACATATGGAGCATCACAGACACACGATAGATAAATGAATATTCGGGGTATATTTGAAGAGATTTTGGATTCAAGCGGGATATCAATTTGGCAATTTATGTCGCCTTGACTCGACATGGTAAATGCCTCAATTCAAATTACCTCGACAAGATGAAGAGATTTCGCCAACTTGCTTTACGTTCTGCAGCAGTACAAACTACTCCTATATAAGTTGTCTCTAATCTCATGTTGTTAGGGTCTTTTCTTGTGTATGATCTGTTATGCAGCCTCCACCACTCAAGCGGACACATTCATTGTTTGCACACACACACTCTCTCTTTCTTTGATACCCCTAGTCTTGTTGAAGACGTTTTCTTCTTCCCTTCTTGCTTTAAGAAACAAGCCGTCAAGGTGGCGTGAATCCATGAATAATATCTTTTTATTATCTATTTTTCTCAACATTAGGGTTTAGATACAAAGTAATAAATGTTACGAGAAAAAAATGCAAAAACAAAGAAATTCACACAACAACAATCAAACACAAATAATTTAAGTAGTTCAGCATTAAGTTGATTCCCCTACCTTCACGGGAAGGGAGATTCCGCTAGTACAGAATGGGGAGTAAAAAAAGGCTAAAAGTTACAACTTCAACACTTCTCACCACTGTCCCTTTAAAGAGGGGTAATTAGGGCATACAAGTAAATAAAATAAAAAGATATAATTACTCCTACTTACGAAAAAACCATAAATACAATAATAATAATAGAAGGTGGCAGAGGTCATATTTCATCACTCATGATAGAAATTTAACACCTAAAAGTGATTATGTATGTATGTATGTATGTATGTATGTATGATAAAAAATGAAAACAGTTTGCGAAATGCCATACCAATGTAAAATAACTAACACTTAAATCTTATTCTTTACATTAATATCACACAAAACTTTCATATCACATCAAAAATACCACCATTTTAACTAAAAATAAATAAAATAAACATTTTCATGCATATGAAAGAATCAAAGATGACATATATATATATAATGTAAAAATAAAAATTTAGAAGTTAGAAATATAAATACATAAAGAACCGAAAGATATGTATATAAATCTTCCAATTCTAAATATGAGAATTGACATAAACATATCCATTCCTGTGCTCAAGCACTCATCCATCACAACAAATAAATAAACAAATGAATAAAGCCAACGAAAGCTTGTCCTGTATCTGTCCCTGGTTCGATCTGCGCCTTTCCAGCCCTTAGCTGCCCTCCCCAAAGCCCTCGTGACCTCCACCAGAAAGCACACAGTAATTGAAGCAATGAAACAATTATTGTGTACAATTTATGTGCGGTGTTCGATCTAGATCGTCAAAAATTTAGAGTAAATCTCACTCTAATAATAAAAGAAACAAAATTTTCATAAATTATTGAATTTGCGTGCGTTGTCAGTATGAAGTAAGTGATTTTATGTGTGGTGTCAGTATGCAATAAGCGCTCGAAATAATAAGAATGAAATGAGTAATCAGAGATAGAATTAGTAAAATATAATATAGAGAAAAGCTAAAGTTCCAACCTTTTTAAACCTTCGCCACTATCTGGCCATTAGTTCCATCTCCGGAGCAAGCAACAATTACAGTAAAGAAATTAGAACTTCACAGAAGAAGAAAGAAGGAAGCAACAGAGACAAAGAGAGCATGAGAGGAAGAGGAAGACAAGGAATAGCAGGTAATAATAATAACAATCATAGTAATATAGGAGGATTCCACACCGATCTCCTCGTCTGCTTCCCTGCAACCCACCTCACTCTCACGCCCAAGCCCATCTGCAGCCCATCAAGGCCCGCGGATCCCACCAAGCGCCATCGTACTCGGCCCACTCACTCTTTATTCAGATCTCGGACCGGTAAGTATTCCGGCGGCGCCGCCGCCGGAGACGAGATTGCCGATGAGCCGACTTCGCCGACGGTCACTTGCGCCGGTCAGATCAGAGTCCAACCGCGGTCTAGACCCGGTTCGAAAGCCAGCGCAAGCTCCTCGGGAAACAATAAAGGCTGGCTGTCAGTGGTGGAAGAGATGGGGAAACTGCAGAGGTAAGTGTCGATTAGTTGATTTGGTTAACTTAATTAATTTGTTTAACTTTTGATTTAGTCAATTATGGATGAGGTTAGAAGCGAATTTGTCTGTTAAACAAGGTTAGCAATAAATTGAATTAAATATATCAATAAAATTTATTTGATAACTTTAATTGTGGATGCAAAGTTGTAATTTTTATGATGTAATATTTTTGTGCATGTATAATAGAATATATATATTATAATATCCATATGTTACAGTTATTAACTTTTTGTAATAATATTAGCAATGTATAATATGAAAAAATTTTCACAGTGTTTTATAATGCAGCAAAGTATGTAATTTTAAACAAAGTCAAGAATTGTCTTCAAACTTCTAACTTAAACAAGTTAAAAAAAATTGATTTTTTTTTTTTTTTTTTTGGGCACAGCAAGAAGCCACTGATGCAGTTCTTAGGCGCATTTCGCAGCCTGCGATTTGATCTCCATTGCTTCGGCTCATTCCATGGCGCCGTGGAGTCGTCAACGGACGGAGACGATGGAGCTGGAGAAGAAGAAACAGAGGAAGAACCAGAGGAGGATAAAAGTTCTGAAATCAGTACCTCCAGAACCATATTCTCCAAGTGGTTCATGTTACTGGAGCAGAACCAGAGCCATGAACAAAAGAAGGAGATGAAGAAGGAAGATGGCAGAAAAGAGATAGAAGACGAAGAGCTCGCTCCGCCGCCCAATGCTCTGTTACTTATGCGTTGCCGCTCTGCTCCGGCTGAAGGAAGAACAGCTACAGGACAAGCAGAAAAAGCTCTGGGTGCAGAAATGGATCTGGAGGACGATAAGGAGAAGAAAGAAAGGGTTTTGCTGATGAGTTATGATCCAAATTTTGATAAGTTGTCGACTGAGATCTCGAAGGAAACATGGATTGTGGGCAGCTTGGATCCGTTGACTAGAAGCAGGAGTTGGAAGAGGTGAAGAACACGAAGCTCACGTGGTAATTGTGATATAATAATGCCTTCTTAATATATTCGGTGTCTAATATTAGGCCGTCACATGTCAAGTGAGTTTCACTGTTTTTAATACTGATTGTGTATTACGAAGAGACCTACTTAACACGCGGCATCTTATCATTGAACTCCGAATGTAAATTATGCTGGGTATACTCTTTATTTAGTTTTTGGATTTTTTTGTCTGGATTTTTTTCCTTTTTTTTTTTTTTCATTTTTGTCTTGGAAGAAAGTGATCTGTTTTGAGATGCTCTTAAGCTGTAAAGTTTCGGCTTTTGTTGTTTTTTTTTCCTATGAGAAGGATCTGACAAAATTATGTACAGAAGCTTTGCTTCTAATGAGAAAAAAACATACTTTTTGCAAAAATCTGATTAAAAAACTATATTAATTTGATGAAGTAAATAATTAAAAAAATATATTTTTGAATTAAAAGTATATTAAAGTACTGCCAAAATTTAATTTTTACAGTATTTTTTATAATTTATTTAGAGTGTACTAGTTATTCATTTTGGATTTGTACTACTTTGTTCATGGCATGCATGTGAGGGTTCTGATTATGAATTATTCACGTGAAAGGACTCTTGAGACTTTTGAAAAAAGAGGGAAGGAGCTAGGCTGGGAAGGAACCTTTCCCTCAATATTATTATATGTTATAAATTTCTAGGGTTAAATAAATGATCAGGAGTTAGGGGCCCAAACTTACTAAAAGCTACTTAAAGACATGACAGTTCAAAGGTGATTAATCAATTTAATATAAAATTTGTGCAACTGAACAAAAAAAAAAGAGAGCATTTATATACAAATCACCCAATTCTTATGTACTTACACATCTGTTGACATGAATTTAGAGTTATTTGGCAAGTATTTTTGGAGCTAAAAAAATATTCTAATTGAAATTAAAAGTTATCCGGAACAATGTTAGGAAACTTAAAATCAAATTGATCGGTTCGACGGGATGAACCCAATGACATCAAAATTTATCCAATTAGAGTCAAGTAAGTCTGGACCAAGATGTTAAACTATATTTGGAGGCTTTGGATGGTTAATTAGACAGTAAAATGAATAGCAAATCTGACAAACTTATAATCAAATCGAGTGTCTCAAAGAGATGAATCTAAAGAGCCCAAGGTCACGTAATTCTGACATCATTATGACACTTAAATATCTATAAAACATTCATCTGATCAAAGGAATCACTCTGGGTCGTCTGCTAGAGTGGTCTTGATTCATACATTATTTACGAAAAATGTCACTCCCAAAATCTATAAATAGAGTCATACTTCCTTAATGAAGGGGGCCTAGACTTGAACCTAGAGGAGAAGGGGAGGAGTCCAATCTGAGAGCCGTTCCAGATTCAAAAACCCTTCGATGACAACTTTCATCCTTCGTACCTATTAATGATTGTCAAACATTGTCATCAACCACTGTAGACTGCCAAAGGCTGCCCTCTGCCCACAGTCGTTCGTGAACTTTGTGAAGCAGCAAAGTATCCTGTTAATTAATGAAGTATCTTGCAAAGTAACGAAGTATCATATGAAGTAATGAGGTATCATGCATACGGAGTAACACAATGTCCTAAACACAATGATGCAGCCCAAATATAGTGTAATAACACACCCTCGAATATGGTGTAATGGCACACCCAAATTACGGTGTAACAACACACCCCGAAAATGGTGTGATGACATACCTCCAATACGTGGCAATGAGTAATGTCATATTGAAGATTTAGTATCCCACAATAATGCTTACAATCATCTTATTTAGAATTCGATGACTTTATCAAGACTTCTAAAGTTTTCTGCAAGTAACTCTTCACCATGATCTATGTGACCAACTATAATTTATATGGCTCACTGCTGCAACTTCCAATTACGGCCTTTGCAACCCACTAACACACATGAAGCTATGAATTACAGCCTATATGGCCAATTATTACTATGTCTCTCAACTACAACATTTATTTTCATATGATGCTATCACAACCGCCATCTACAATAGTTATGGTAGATTACTGCCCTTGTGACAATCAAATACAGCATTTGCGGCCCAATCACACTATTATTGCCAAGAACTACAATTGTAGCACAATTAGAGCTATTATCACAGGATTACTCTTGTACATCTATGATTATCATCTTTATAAATCTATCTTCCCTAATTTAGGAGAAAAGTTAACATATGCACTTGCAAACCTATAATGGGTCTTCTTGATTGTGCTAGACTGTATATATTTTTTTTCTTTTCTAAATTTTCCCACGTAAAAAACTCTGGCGTCTCATTCTACTAGTTTTTTATTATTTGAGCGTTCGCTAGATTTTCGTACTATATCAAGATATTAAATTATCATTCTATCACCCTGAATCTTTCAATGCGCAACAATATCTAACATTTATACTTTACGTTTTACATTTATATTACCACTCAAGTCTTTGATACCACATAAAAAATATCGCTATTTTAGCTTTTTACAAGTGAAAAATATCTTTTCATGCATTGAAATGACATTTATGTAAAAATTGAAGTATAGGTGATAGATATGTAAATACATATAAATTGAGTGGTATGTATATAAATCTTCCAAAAAAGAAAAAAAAATGAGCCGCCCCAATTTCGCATATGTAACTTTCATTAAAATCATCACTTGCCAAATGCCTTCACATCAATATTTGTGTAAGTTTCTCTACCTTCGCTATCAATGCCTTGAATCCTATCCACCATTCAAGCAACTACACTTAAAAGGAAATACATTTATATATTTACATTATTATGTAATTTAGTATAT